TGAATTGGATATGATCTTGTGGTCTTGTGTTGCAATACTCACCCTAGCCCCACTCAAGTCCGCGTGAAAAATTGATTGGAAAAGCGTAGCTGGGTTTGCATCGTGATCAGCAAGTCAACAGTAGCTCCATTCATCCTGCAGCCTCATCCAGTCAAGGAGTGCTTGTTATCTCATGGACTCGATCTTGTGATCTTGAGCTCTTGTGTTGCAGTACTCGCCCTAGCTTCATTCAGTGTCAAGGAGTCATTAGCGCGGTGTCATATCCTCTGCTTCTCCCAAGCACAGCGATGGAACCCTTCCTCACGACTTTGACTAACCGCCAAAACCGCCGTGAGGACCTGATTTGGTAGTATGCTGGGAGGTCAGGATACCATTCTGAAAACCTTTTTTTTTTTTTTTTTTTTTTTTTTTTTTCAACACCCTCGTCAAATAGGCTCCTGCGGACGGAGGAAAAAAAGTTGTTTTCTTTTTTTTTTTTTCTCTGTCACAGGGTGGGTCGGGGTTTGCACAACCCCAATCGACTTTAACACCCCCCACCCCCCCCACTGGCCAACACGCAGCTGCAGCTATGGCCGCCCACAGCCGCCTCCGTGGGAGATTCATAGCCCAACGGTGACTGCCAGGTTACGGGTGGGGCTGGGTACCCCTTCCTAAGGGGGAGTTGCGTATGGGCAGGCAAAAAAAATAGTGGTCGTTGTTAGTACGGGCGCAGTTGCCCTTATGGAGATCATGGGCAGGCAGGGACAGGTAGGGGCAGGGGAGAAGAAAAAACACCCTGGTATGGCCAGCCAAAAAGAAAAATGAGGGTATGGGGCCAGCTACGGGTGGCAGCAAACAAAAAACGGTATGGGTATGGGCTGGTAGAGGTTCCTATCGGGTAATTATGGTATACCTAGTACCTACCCATTCCAGGCCCCCAACCCAGCCCCCTCTCCCACCACCATGGGCTCTAGGACTATTTGCTTTTCTCCCACTGCGTCATTGAAAGCGCCACCGAGTCGCTGTGTGTCGCTGTGTTGTTAAAAGTCGAAAAGTTTCCAGACTTCGAGTGTAAAGGTTTCCTCGTTGAAAGCGCCACCGAGCCACTGCATTGTTGAAAGAGCCACTGCGTTGTCGAAGGTCGAAAAGTTTCAGACTTTGAGTTGGGCCTTTCAAGCGGGCCTCCCTCCAGTACTCACGAAATGCAAAGACAAAAAAAGGCGGTGTATCTTCCCATGTTCCAGCGGAATATTCATTCTCATTTTCAACATTTCGTGAGTAATGGCGCAAGGCCCATTGCCTCCTGCCCATTTGTATAGCCTCCCACCCCTTTCAATTCCCTCTTCCCACTATTCCCCGGAGTCCCCGACGGTTGTTCACGTCCCCACCCGTCGTCCTCCTCACCGCCCATTGTTGTCCATCCTCCATAAGCTTCCATGGTCAGCATCGCAGTTGTGACCCAGCAGGAGGGCGCCGCAGGTGTGATCGGCAACGGCAGCAGGTGTCAGCACTTAGGAGACGGGTGCAGGCGCTTACGGATGGGTGCATACAATTGTCGACGTGAACGGGTAAAGAAAACTGGACTGGGTAGGGTATAGGCAGTCAACAAACGGTTTGGGTTCAGATGGCCATGGGTGTCCACGTGCAGGTATGGCAATTAAAGTCTGACGAGGTTCAGGTAGGGCAGTTATGGGTTCACATCTTTTTCCTTGCAGCAGGTAGAGATAGGTGAAGGTACGGTAGGCCAGGTATACAGTGGGTATGGATGGTTGGTTTTCAAAGAGGGTGCGTTTAGGTTGGGTACAACCATACAGATTTTCCTAAAAGCCTTGGTTGCCAACTCTGATCTCGATTCAATTCTTTTTTCTTACATCCTTGAAGTTCTCCTTTATTTTTGGTTACTCGTCAGATGGCACTAAGTCTGTGCCTGTAAGTTTCGAGCGGAGACAAAACTTCGTAGCAATAAAATAGATACGCGTAGCTAACTAAATGCCAGGTGGAGTTGCACAAGATTTACCCTTCAGTTCACGCGAAGATCTTCGTTAATTTTCACAGCAATTTGCTTCTCGTATAAACGAAGTAGAAGAAATGTTAACAAACAATCGTATTTGGAAACAACGATCCAGTGGCCTTTCTGCCGTATTTCTCGGTAGCAAGGGATTCATACACAAGTCGCAACGCTTAGGAAGTTAACATGCAGTGTCCCCGTTGGCGGTTCCCTGAAGGCAATCAAGGCCGCCCTGGGCTGGAAAGGCCACCCGATGTCAGATGAGACACAATATTGAATTTACCTGGGCTGGTTAGTCCGATGATAATACCTACAGGCCATCGCCCTTTCAAAAAAAAAATGATGGGATACCAGGGCAAAGCCACAGGCATTCCCCATTTCGTCTTTCCTGTCCGTAAGACATCACATGTTAATGTCAAGCTCGACCCTGATCTGTCTTTTGTTTGCTCTTCACCATCCATGATCTACCCTGAAAGGATATTGATACAGCTTGCAGCATAACCAGATGTGATTGAAAGAATTTTTTCTTTTTTGGTCGTCCGATGGACCACAGATCAGATAATAAAACTGGTCACAGAATGGATACCACACTTGATCTATTTGTACGAATGTTTTAGCCAAAACGCCGATGAAGGTGTGATTAACATTGGTTGAAAGACTATATTCAAATTTGAAAGGGGGTTGCAGGGTTCCTATTTTTATCAGGGTTCCTATTTTTTATCTTTAAGTTTCCACCTTTCGCCCTTGTTTATCTTTCTCATCTCGTGTGCACTACAGGGCTTGATGGTGACATTAGCCTAAAAGGCAGTAGTTGTCACTACACTTTCCTGTGAAAAAAGCACAGGACCGAAAAATGGGGGCTCCTGTTAACTACTGCTCCTCCATTTGCCGGTGCTACTCTTCAAGGCAGGCATCTCTCTCAACATTCAAATCAACGAAAGCATCAGAAGATCTTACTGTCCTTACCCTGATTTCTGTTGTCCTCTCTCTCTCTCTCTCTCTCTCTCTCTCTCTCTCTCTCTCTCTCTCTCACACACACACACACACACACACACACACACACACACACACACA